TGCCTAGTATGGGCCAACAGGCCTCCTGCAGTGTTCCTCCATTCTTATGTTCTTATGTACCGATAGTTTCTTAGAGTGCTCATCTTCCATCTTTAGACTTGCAAGAACTGCCTTATACTGTGTGTGTGTGTGCACGTGTGTGTGTGTGTGTGTGTGTGTGCACATGTGTGTGCATGTGTGTGCATGTGTGTGCGCTTGTTTGTGCACATGTGTGTGCGCATGTGTGTGCATGTGTGTGTGCACGTTTGTGTGCACGTACTCACCTATTTGTACTCACACACACATGTGTGTGTGTACTCACCTATTTGTACTCACCTATTTGTGGTTGCAGGGGTCGAGTCCTAGCTCCTGGCCCCGCCTCTTCACCGGTTGCTACTAGGCCCTCTCTCTCCCCGCTCCATGAGCTTTATCAAACCTCGTCTTAAAACTGTGTATGGTTCCTGCCTCCACTACGTCATTTTCTAGGCTATTCCACTGCCTTACAACTCTATGACTGAAGAAATACTTCCTACTATCTCTCTGACTCATTTGTGTCTTCAACTTCCAATTGTGACCTCTTGTTTCTGTGTCCCCTCCCTGGAACATCCTGTCCTTGTCCACCTTGTCTATTCCACGCAGTATTTTATATGTCGTTATCATGTCTCCCCTGACCCTCCTGTCCTCCAGTGTCGTCAGGCCGATTTCCCTTAATCTTTCTTCATAGGACATTCCCCTTAGCTCTGGAACTAACCTTGTTGCAAACCTTTGTACTTTCTCTAGTTTCCTGACGTGCTTTATCAAGTGCGGGTTCCAAACAGGTGCTGCATACTCCAGTATGGGCCTGACATACACGGTGTACAGTGTCTTGAATGATTCCTTACTAAGGTATCGGAATGCTGTTCTCAGGTTTGTCAGGCGCCCATATGCTGCAGCAGTTATCTGATTGATGTGTGCTTCCGGAGACATGCTCGGTGTTATACTCACCCAAGATCTTTCTCCTTGAGTGAGGTTTGCAGTCTTTGGCCACCTAGCCTATACTCTGTCTGTGGTCTTCTGTGCCCTTCCCTATCTTCATGACTTTGCATTTGGCAGGATTAAATTCGAGAAGCCATTTGCTGGACCAGGTGTCCAGTCTGTCCAGGTCTCTTTGAAGTCCTGCCTGGTCCTCATCAGATTTCATTCTCCTCATTAACTTCACATCATCTGCAAACAGGGACACTTCTGAGTCTAACCCTTCCGTCATGTCGTTCACATATACCAAAAATAGCACTGGTCCTAGGACCGACCCCTGTGGGACCCCGCTCGTCACAGGTGCCCACTGTGATACATCATTACGTACCATGACTCGTTGTTGCCTCCCTGTCAGGTATTCTCTGATCCATTGCAGTACCCTTCCTGTTATATGCGCCTGATGCTCTAGCTTCTGCACTAATCTCTTGTGAGGAACTGTGTCAAAGGCCTTCTTGCAGTCCAAGAAGATGCAATCAACCACCCCTCTCTCTCTTGTCTTACTTTGTTATTTTATCATAAAACTCCAGAAGGTTTGTGACACAGGATTTGCCTTCCGTGAATCCGTGCTGGTTGGCATTTATACTCCTGTTCCGTTCCAGGTGCTCCACCACTCTCCTCCTGATAATCTTCTCCATAATTTTGCATACTATACACGTCAATGACACAGGTCTATAGTTTAGTGCCTCTTTTCTGTCTCCTTTTTTGAAAATGGAACTACATTTGCCGTCTTCCATACCTCAGGTAGTTGCCCAGTTTCCAGGGATGTGTTGAAGATTGTGGTAAGTGGTACGCACAACATATCTGCTCCCTCTCTAAGGACCCACGGAGAGATGTTGTCCGGTCCCATTGCCTTTGAGGTATCGATGTCCCTTAGCAGTTTCTTCACCTCCTCCTCATCTGTATGTATGTCGTCCAACACTTGTTGGTGTATTCCTTGTTGGTGTCCCCATCTGGTCTGTCCCCCAGAGTCCTTCCTGTCTCTACTGTAAATACTTCCTTAAATCTCGTGTTGAGCTCCTCACATACCTCTTGATCGTTTCTTGTGAGTTCTCCACTTCTTCCTCAGCCTTATCACCTGGTCCTTGACTGTTGTCTTCCTCCTAATGTGGCTATAGAGCAGTTTCGGGTCAGATTTGACTTTCGATGCTATGTCGTTTTCATACTGTCGCTGGGCCTCCCTCCTTATCTGCGCATACTCGTTTCTGGCTCTTCTACTAATCTCCTTGTTTTCCTGGGTCCTATGCCTCCTGTACCTTTTCCATTCTCTGTTGCACTTAGTTTTTGCCCCCCTACACCTTCGGGTAAACCAAGGACTCGTTTTGGTCTTCCTATTATTTCTGTTTCCCTTGGGAACAAAACTTTCCTCTGCCTCCTTGCACTTTGTTGCCACATATTCCATCATCTCGTTTACTGATTTTCCTACCATTTCTCTGTCCCACTGAACCTCCTGCAGGAAGTTTCTCATACCTGTGTAGTCCCCCCTTTTATAGTTTGGCCCTGTCCCCTTCAGTTCCTGTTACCTTCTCCACTTGTAACTCTACTATATAGTCAAAACTCAGAACCACATGATCGCTAGCTCCAAGGGGCCTCTCGTAAGTGATGTCCTCAATGTCTGAACTGCTCAGGGTGAACACAAGATCCAGTGTTGCTGGCTCATCCTCCCCTCTCTCTCTGGTTGTGTCCCTGACATGTTGATGCATGAGGTTTTCAAGTACCACATCCATCATCTTGGCTCTCCATGTTTCGGGACCCCCATGTGGCTCCAGGTTTTCCCAGTCGATCTCCCTGTGGTTGAAATCGCCCATTACCAGTAACTTTGCTCTGCTCGAGTGAGCTCTTCTTGCCACCTCAGCCAGTGTGTCCACCATCACCCTGTTGTTTTCTTCGTACTCCTCTCTTGGCCTCCTGCAGTTCTGTGGTGGGTTATACATCACTCCAATGACTACTTTATGTTCTCCGGACTGAATTGTACCTACAATGTAGTCTCTTTCTCCAATCATGTCCATGCCTTCCATTTCCTCAAATCCCCATTGGTGTTTTATGAGCAGTGCAACCCCTCCTCCCCCTCTACTCCTTCTATCTTTCCTCAGGATCTGATATCCTGTTGGGAAGATTGTGTCTATTATTGTCTCAGCGAGTTTTGTTTCTGTGACTGCTATGATGTCTGGGGATTTTTCACTGATTCTTTCATTCCACTCCTCATGTTTATTCGTTATTCCATCCACGTTTGTGTACCAAACCTTTAGTTTCTTTTCTATCATTGTGGTCATGCAAGTATATTGGGGTTGGGGAGCGAGAGCCTTGGTGGGGGCCTATATGGGGCTGTGGTGTAGGTGGGGTTTGTGTTGATGGGGGTGGGGTCAGAATGCCCCTAAGGGACAGCTGTTGGGGTGAGGTTTGTGATATGGGGGTTGGTGGCAGAGGAACAGTGAGTGGGTTGTAGTATAGGTTGCTCAGTTGCGTTGGGAATGTCGCGGGTGGAGTCTTTTGGTGGGAGATTCTGTGGGGTGTGTTTGCCCTTCCTCCTGTGTCTGGGTCCTGCTCATTTTCATTGCTTCTCGTTCCTCCTTGCGTCTCTGTACCCTCTCTTTCAGTGTAGTCCTTTCTTCTTGTGTTCTGTCGCGGTCGAGGTATACTCTCTGGTACCCCTCTTTGTCCCTCAGTCTTGCTTTCTCTTGCAGAATCCTGGTTCGAACTGATTCTTCCTTGAAAGTTACTCTGACAGGCCGTATCCTTCCACTCGCAAACCACCCAATTCTCTGAAAATTTGTCACCTGGGTCATATTGCCCTCCCCTATTGTTTTCATGATGCCTTCAATCATTTTTTTCTCCTCCTGTTTTATTTCTTCAAAGTTGGCCCCCTTGGCTTCTTGGAGCCCGTACACAAAAACTGACCTCGCCCTTTCCTCCTCCCACTGAGTCTCCATCTGCTTCCTCTGAGGCATTTTATTTCCTTCCATTGACATGTTCTTGCCTTCAGTCCCTGTCATATCTGAAACTTCTATTCTCAGTGAACTGTCTTTCCTGACCAGCTGTCCCTTGCTACTGCAGTTGGCTGTTAGAATCTCTGCATATAACAAACCTTCATTGTCTTCGGACCTGTCGCTTGATCTTAGTGTGCTCATCGTCTTTTCCCTGGCCCCACGTGGGTCTGATAGGGCCTTCGTGTACGGCATGTCTCCGTTGTTGCTTACCATCCCCTTGTCTGCGCCTGACTTTGAATTTCCTTCATTGTCTTCGGACCTGTCGTTTGATCTCAGTGTGCTCATCGTCTTTTCCCTGGCCCCACGTGGGTCTGATAGGGCCTTCGTGTACGGCATGTCTCCGTTGTTGCTTACCATCCCCTTGTCTGCGCCTGACTTTGAATTTCCTGATGTCACATCTGAATTGTCATTTGTCTCTCTAATCTGTTTCAGGCTTTGCAGTTTCTCTTCTAAGCACCGTATCCTAGCTTCTGCTGCTAAGACCTGTACTTCCCACTTCCTGCACTCTTCAGCTATCCGCTCCTCCATTTTCTTACCAAGCTCTACTATCTTCCTTCCCCACTCTTCCTCCCTTTTTTGGAGCTCTAACTCCCAGTCTTTCCTCCCTGGTTCGTCTACCAGATCTCTGGTTTTCCGTCCTCTAAGGCCACCCATATATTTTTTTTTTTTTTTTTTGTGTGTGTGCACGCGTGCGTGCATGTGCGTGTGTGCGTGCGTGTGTGCACGTGCATGTTTGTTTGTGTACGTGTCTGCACCTTTGCGTGAAACGGAGAGTGAGTGGGTGTGTGTCAAATTGAGCAATTTAATTGGCTTAAATTAAAACTCAATTGGGTGAGTTGCCAGTGCGTTAATTGTGCCCTGACCACTAATTCTGTAGTCTTTTGTAAAATTTCATAATTTTGGTTCTAATACTTTCAGAAAAAGATTCTCTACCATTTCAGAAGTTTTTTTTTTTTAAAATATGAGCACTCTTAATTTTCATGGCTTTAGACAGTGAAATGGTTAATGAGAACATAATTTTTCCAGATTTGCTGTGCATGAGACATATCCAGCAGACCGACCACGACTGCCTAAATCTCCACTCTCCACAGAAGACTTGAAGAATGCATTATCTTCTGCTAAAGAAAATACTCCTTTAAAAAAGATACTAAATCCCTTGTTAGGTTTGTATAACTGTAATATACAGTATGGTACATCATCTCTGACAGCAACAACTTTCTCACTTATCTTGAAGTTTAACTGTTTCTTTTTTACCAACAAAATCTCTTATATAAATATTGAAGATAAAAGTTGGAATAATATTTTGGGCATGGAAGGTGCTATTTTATATACCATGGGCCCAAGGAGTGTTGAATTGTCTTGGCGAATCATGGAGTGTTATGCCTTAACACTTGTTTTTTAGTTTCATGTTTTCTGGAAAGTATTAAAAATTTAATATCTATAAACAAATATATTTGAAGCTGTTCATACCACCATAGAGATGACATTTGTTTTTAAAATGAAATAATTTTTGTTGCATTGTTTAAATTTTTTGTTAGTGTTTATCTTTGTATAACTAGCAAGGAAGTGCAAAACATGGAAGCAGTACATACAGCAAAATGCTGACTGTGTCAAATTTTATTTCTAGTTAGATAAGGAAATTTCACTGCCTTTGTCTCACCAGCAGTCATATTCTCCTATTCACAGTTATGTACTTGTATAACTAGTAGTTATGTTTTTATGTTACCATACCAGTTTTTGATTAATTAACATTACAAGGAGGCTTTCATTATACTGATCATTGAAAGTCTCTGCATGTACTGTATTATTATATAGTAAACTCTTAATTTAATTGGCATACGAAATACAGGAAAAAAATCCTATTGGTTATTTGAATCAGAAACTATGGATAACTCCATTGATTACACAATTGTCTATTATTGTTTCAATCATGGCAAAAAGATTCTTCTCTGTCCACCATAGTCATTATTACTGGCCATCTGCTCTTCCCTTTCAGTCTCTTAAATTCAGGGTTTACTGTACTTCATTACTCGCATACACTCACAAGAGATTCTTATTATAATTGCTTCCTTATTTTTATTATATTTCTTAAGTTACACTGTTCATTAGAACATGTCATGAACATTAATAACTTTAGTGTAAAAAATATTAGTAGCTTACCTAAGTAGTAGGTTGGTAGACAGCAACCGCCCAGGGAGGTACTACCGTCCTGCCAAGTGAGTGTAAAACAAAAGCCTGTAATTGTTTTACATGATGGTAGGATTGCTTGTGTCCTTTTTTCTGTCTCATAAACATGTAAGATTTCAGGCACGTCTTGCTACTTCTACTTACACTTAGGTCACACTGCACATACCTGTACAAGCATATATATACACACCCCTCTGGGTTTTCTATTTTCTTTATAGTTCTTATTCTTGTATATTTCCACTTATCTCCATGGGGAAGTGGAACAGAATTCTTCCTCCGTAAACCATGCGTGTTGTAAGAGGCGACTAAAATGCCAGGAGCAAGGGGCTAGTAGCCTCTTCTCCTGTATATATTTCTAAATGTAAAAGGAGAAGCTTTTGTTTTTTTTTGGCGGGGCCACCTCGCCTCGGTGGGATACGGCCGGTGTGTTGAAAGAAGAAAGAAAATTAGTAGCTTAAAATTTATTTTTAGTTTTTGTGATTTCAGACTGTGGTGGAGGAGTACTTGATCATGAACTGCTGGAAGCAGGCTTCCGCACAGGTGCAAAGTTAGGTCAGGATCTGAAAATTAATGATGACCTTACACAGCTGCATAAAGCTGCAACCAGAGCACAGGCTGTTGTCACAGAATGGGCCAAAAGACCATTCCAAGAGGTGAGAAGTGTGGCAAGAGGCAAATGTGCTAGAAAAAAAAGGAATAGTTATTCTTAGGATGTCTTATTGTTAATTGATCATAGTTATTGTTAAACTTTTCTATAGTAATTGCAAACACGTCCCCTATCAAACTTGCTTCAGCGAACACATCCCTTGTTTATAAAGAAATGCTGCAGCCAATATTTTCTGCACTTCTTTTTACGTAATTTAAGCATTTATTTTTCCATCCCTGTTGCTAATTCTAAAAGATTACTATTTCTATTTTTTTCATAAAGATAAATAAATTTATTATTGGTTATCATATCTCTTCTATTTACCAACAAAGGCAAGTAAATTCACTATTAGCCTCGATAACAGATGCTTTCTGTAACCTTTTTTAGTACCTTAGTTCATCAACTTTTTAAGATGGATATTCAGCAGTTTGTATATGCAAAACCTGCTCTTCCATGTTGCATGGTTTATGTTTTTAAGCCAGTTTTTGTAAGTTCATATCACAATTATTCTGTAGGATAATTATTTTCAGGGGATTGTGATGGCCACTCCAGAACACTGATTTTGTGTTTGTTAACCTTTTGGTTATTGTCATGGATATATTCAAAGGATTATTATTGTGTTGGAAAGTTCAGCTGTTTAGGCAAAGGCCCTGTTGCTCTCATTTGATTGTAATTGAAGTTTTCAAGACAATGATGCCCAGAAGTGCACATCCATGTCTTAATCAAATAACTAAAGGAGCATAATGCTAACTTAGTCGGCTGTTTTCTGTGCAAGTCTCATGAATAATGTAGATTATATATAATTTAACTGACGATGATGTGCTAAGTCAACTGCAACTGTTCTTTTTCCTGTATTCTCCATCTCTCATCCACTAGCATTCCTCTCATTCTTCCTGTGGTGCCCTGAATGACCCATATGGGTCTATTGCTGTCCATGAATGCACAACAACAATAATCAATTTTATTGGTCATCACATTCTTCAGAATTCAGTCCAATAGATAATTTTTGTGAATTCAAAATTAGCAGTCAATAAATACAGTCTGAAAGAGCTGGAGAGTCTTTGCATGGAGGTACACTTGGTAGAATTCTGCAGAGAAGTTCATGAGTCTACTGAAAGGTGATGAAAAGTGCCACCTCAATATTATCTAAGCTTCTTAAAGTTGCAAATTGAAAGTCTAGGGTATAAGTAAATATGAACATTACAGGTTTCACACTACACAGTATGTATGTAGCTGTAAGAGATAAGCTGTTGATATATACAATAATATAGATAATTGCAAAGGCATTTATTCTGTGTGTTGGTTGAAGGTACCAAATGTAGACTTGTATTTTATCGCTAAATCAAATTGTAGTTGCATATAGAGTTTACATAAATTTGGAGCCTATTGTATGAAAGAATAATGACTGATTGAAATGTATTTCAGGGCTACATTATCAAGAAAATTGAGCAGAGGAAAAAAGGAGATGGTACTATGGAGGAAGTTCCTATTTACCAAGAGTTTATGCCATTTCTCTTTGCCCAGTATGCACAGTCTCCTAATGAACGATTCCCAACCTTCAATGAAGGCAAGCTAAAGAATGTTGCTTTGTTGTATGCAAAATAACAGCTTTTGGATGTTGATAGATAAGATTTTTCTCTCAGGTTTTATTATTTTTATTGGTTGAAAGGTAAGTGAATACTAACAAGTTCGAATGAAATGAGGCACACTAAATCAGTATTGAGACTATATACTTGATGTTTCACTTGATATAAGGTGTTTTGAAGTAATAGATGTGCCTGTGGTTTTGCAGTTTGGAAGTGTCCTTGGTTTTGCATGATTGTGTTAGATATGCTGATAAAAGCAGTCTCAACAACTTCATATTTATCTCTCTTCTTGATCAGCTTTTTTTTATTTTTGTTGTGTTACACAAATTTTATTCTTTCTTCACAGCTTGTGATGAATATTTCTCAAAGATGGAGGCTGGTAAAATAGACCAAAAAGCTGTGCAGAAGGAGAAGGAGGCACTTAAGAAGCTAGAAAATGTTAAACGTGATCATGAACGGCGTCTGCAGGACCTCAGCTGTACCCAAAAGACAAATGAACTTCATGGCCATATGATAGGTGCACTTATATTGCTTTTACCCACTATATGTAATTTTGGATAAATGAAGTGTAGTGATTAATACAAAAAATCTTCTGATTCACTAATGGTTTTAGGGCTTAGGGGTCATCTTTCTTTTGGCCTGGTTTCTGAGATCCACTTAATCCCTCTCTCTGTTTTTTAATGTTGCCATAAGCCTTAGGGTTGATATAGTGTTGTTACACCTGGTTGGGAAGTCGGAACAAATATATTAATTTACGTAGGCATCATGACTATTTAATAATTTTATTTTATCTGTATTTTTTCTTCGAATGGCATAGTATAAGAGTTAGTTTTTATCTTTATCAAGGCTCATTAGATATCCTGTAGAAAAAGTGACACTCCATTTAATACAGTTTTGTGTGAAATATCATGAACTGTACAGTATGGAACTGTCAGGTTCTGTTTATTAATTTATTTTATCATCTTGGTATCCAACTTTAAAACTGCAATACATTTTTAAATTATTTTGTTTAGCTAACTCTTCTCATGTTTTTACAGAACTTAACAAAGATTTGGTGGATAAAGCAATCCTGGTGGTCCGAAGTGCTGTTGCCAATCAGATTGACTGGAAACAAATTAAAGAACTGCTAGCAGAAGCTCAAGCTCGAGGAGATACCGTGGCTCTAGCTATCAAACAACTCAAACTGGAGAGCAATTCTATCATTCTGTCACTTAGGTTTGTTAATATCTGAGTTACATTGGTTTGTAAAGGGACTTGTAGATGTTTGGGATAAAGTGTCAGATTCATTGATTGAAGTAAACTGCTATATTGTAGTAAAGTAAAATATTATACTGTAGTTTGGGTGTAAATAAGGTCTCTAATTCAACTGTGAATGCACATTTCAAGTGTGATAAAAAACTCTACAATAACATAATGAAGTGAGTATTCATTGCATTGAGGGAAATCACATTTCCCTCGAGTCATCCTGAAACTACACTCAAACCAATAATCATTTATGCTTCACTAGCAAATGTGTTAATTCTTCTGTACACTCGAAGGTGTAACTTGTGATGTCATCTATAGACATATTGGTTACTGATAATTTGTGTCTCCTAATGTTGAAAACTGATCAAGATATGTTCATTAAACTCATATAGATCTGTGTAAATCTGTTATTCAAATTATTCTTTCAGCAACCCATATGACTGTGAAGAAGATGACATCTTGTTGGACTCTGATGAAGAACGTGAAGAAGGCAATGATTCCACAAAGATGCGGCCCATGACAGTGGATATAGACCTAGATCTCTCTGCAATGGCCAATGCTCGTAGGCTAGTACAGTACTGATTATGTGATACCCTTTTCAAACTTATTTTATTTCTCAAAGTGTACGGTGAACTGTTTACAAAAAAGCCTTATGAACCTTAACTTTTGATGTCATATGTATGTATAGTATTTTATAAGCTGGAAAAGCAATATATACTACTAGGTTAATAGAAAGTTCGGAAGTGTATTTACTAATAGATCTCTAATATAAAAATGGACTTGAGTTTCCAGTGGCTAAATAAAGTAGTATTATAATACTGTGTGTATTAATATTCTAGGTAGTAGGTTGGTAAACAACAACCACCCAGGGAGGTACTACCGTCCTGCCAAGTGAGTGTACAACGAAAGCCTGTAATTGTTTTACATGATGGTAGGATTGCTGGTGTCTTTTGTCTGTCTCATAAACATGCAAGATTTCAGGTATGTCTTGCTACTTCTTCTTGCATTTAGGTCACACTACACATACATGTACAAGCATATATATACACACACACACCCCTCTGGGTTTTCTTCTATTTTCTTTCTAGTTCTTGTTCTTGTTTATTTCCTCTTACCTCCATGGGGAAGTGGAACAGAATTCTTCCTCCGTAAGCCATGCGTGTTGTAAGAGGCGACTAAAATGCCGGGAGCAAGGGGCTAGTAACCCCTTCTCCTGTATATATTACTAAATTTAAAAAGAGAAACTTTAGTTTTTTCTTTTGGGCCACCCCGCATCGGTGGGATACGGCTGGTATGTTGAAAGAAGAAGTGTATTAATATAAATGGCAAGACAATGATGGAGTGAATGATGGTGAAAGTTTTTCTTTTTCGGGCCACCCTGCCTTGGTGGGAATCGTCCAGTGTGTTAATAATAAAAAAAAAAAATTAATAGGCAACAAAAAAACAAATTGATCACATGGAATATTACCTTGGGCTTTGAGGAAATGGGCAGAAGAGCTAATCTATCTTTAAAAAGTGTTGAGGACTTAGAATGTTAACTAGAAGACAAATGGAAACATAGCAGACATTTTTTCTTAGTAAATGGCATTTGTAAGCATAGTAAGGTATTTGATAATACTACACTGTATATGAAATAGAATCAGATTGTAGTTGTACTACTAATGTTACCAAATAATGCTTATTGTTGCAAAGTACTTTATCTTCTTCTTTAAACACACTGGCCGTATCCCACTGAGGTGGGGTGGCCCAAAAGGAAAAACGAAAGTTTCTCCTTTTACATTTAGAAATATATACAGGAGAAGGGGTTACTAGCCCCTTGCTCCTGGCATTTTAGTCGCCTCTTACAACACGCATGGCTTGAGGAGGAAGAATTCTGTTCCACTTCCCCATGGAGATAAGAAGAAATAAACAAGAAGAACTAGAAAGAAAAAAGAAGAAAACCCGGAGGGGTATGTATATATATGCTTGTACAGGTATGTGCAGTGTAACTTAAGTGTAAGTAGAAGTAGCAAGATGTACCTGAAATCTTGCATGCTTATGAAACAGAAAAAAGGACACCAGCAATCCTACCATCATGTAAAACAATTACAGGCTTTCGTTTTACACTCACTTGGCAGGATGGTAGTACCTCCCTGGGCGGTTGCTGTCTACCAACCTACTACCTAGGAAAGTACTTGATGCTGTGTTAAAAATTCCTTTGTGAGATAACTGGAATATTACTGTACATTATTGAATGTGATTATGCTAAGTTCCTGTGATACCACTGAATGTGGACAGTACTATAATGTGAAAACTTGGGTAACATTACGCTTATTTCTAATTCTTCTTTCAGTAAACCGGCCATGTCCCACTGAAGCAGTGTGGCCCTGAAAGAAAAACAAAAGTTTCTCTTTTTAACCTTAGTAATGTATACGGGAGAAGGGGTTACTAACCCCTTGCTCCTTATATCTAATTAACTTTTTTAATATTGCCTTTCCATGTTTCCCTGGTGAAAATGGCTATAATTACATTAGCAGGTAAACCCTGATTATATGAAGTACTACAGTATTACTCATTATTATTACAATATTACTTATTATTTTTATTTATTTAAGTATTGTTCCTGACATGCAGAATATACCATTTCTCAAAGTGAGATGTTAAATTATCAAAATATACTTTGCCAGGTATTTCGATCAGAAGCGTCAAGCAGCAAGGAAGGAACAGAAAACAATTGATGCCTCAGCTAAGGTACTTCAGATAACCACCAAGAAAACTAATGAAACACTCAGAGAAGTGGCAGCCATCTCTAACATCAATAAGGCGAGAAAGGTCCATTGGTTCGAGAAATTTCTTTGGTTTATTTCCTCTGAAAATTATCTAGGTGAGAGGAGTATTAAATAAATTTTTTAAATTTTTATTATATTAAGGAAAGACAGGCAGCTTGAGAGTGCTGTATACAGTACAGTAAACTTGCAATTTGTGCAACTTCAGCTTGCATTATCAATAACATAAGATTTAAACTTTGTTTCCAAGACCATGAGTTGTGTGTGAAATACTGCTGTCACCCAGCAGAATATTTTCCCTCTGTGCCCAGGCAAAGGCCTTATTTCCTTTCTGCTCTCAAGAGTTCATTTATTACTGGATGATTTAGCCATTTTTAAATGCACATAGACTGCATAACATAAAATTCAGTGGGGGAAAGTGCCTGTCGACCAGTGGTGGGAGGGCTTAAGCTCCCTCCATAATTTGCTTCAACCTCCAAAATCCCCAATAATTACCTTTAGTCCCATAAAGTACCCCCATAATTTCCTTCAGTCCCCAAAGTACCCCCATTATTTCCTTCAGCCCTCAAAGTATCCCAATAATTTCCTTAAGCCCCCAAAGTCCCCCATAATTTCCTTCAGCCCCTAAAAAAAAAAATGAAAGTTTTTCTTCTTTCAACAAACCGGCCATATCCCACCGAGGCGGGATGGCCCAAAAGGAAAAACAAAAGTTTCTCCTTTTAAATTTAGTAATATATAGAGGAGAAGGGGTTATTAGCCCCTTGCTCTTTAATATTTTGATCACCTCTTACAACATGCATGGCTTTCGGAGGAAGAATTCTGTCCCACTTCTCAATGGAAGTGGAGTTGAATCTTGGAGATGGGAAGTACAATGCCTGTACTTTAACCCTTAAACTGTCCAAATGTAAATCTACGTTCACGTGCGTAGCGCCCCGACCTGTATTTTCTCCATTTGAAAGCATGTAAAAAAACGTAGATCTACGTTCGGAGCACTACACACGTGAATGTAGATCTACATTTGGACAGTATAAGGGTTAAAGGAGGGGTTTGAGATATTTACTGTTTGGGGTGACATCTAAACTGTCTTATCTACACACCTCTGCAAAGACAGTGATTGTGTGTGAATGATGATGAAAATGTCTCCGTCTTCTTTTGGGTCACCCTGCCTCGGCGGGACATGGTCAGCATGTTGAAAAGAAAGTACTTTCATCATCATTCAACACTTTCACCTCACTCATACATAATCACTGTCTTTGCAGAGGCACCCAGATACAACAGTTTAGAAGCATTTTATTTTTTGTTTTAACAAGTTGGCCGTCTCCCACTGAAGCAGGGTGACCCAAAAAGAAAGAAGATTTCCAAAAAGAAAATACTTTCATCATCATTCAATGTGAAGGCTTACTCAGCCTTGTAACAACTTCAGTCAGTATTACCAAGGCTGGCTCCTCCTCAGGAAAATTAATGAATAGAAAAAGAAATAATAACAGACAATGATACATTTTATTATTTAGAAATGGAAAATGTAAAACAATAAAACATGAATGGGTATCCTAATTGAAAGAAAAATGAAATGAAAAAAAAATTACATTTGAACTCAACGCTAATGTAGGTATATCGTGGTAATGGGGTGTCAGGTGTTGTTGACCTCCACCGGCTCGTTCTTCACAGAGTGTAGCCGTGAATAATTGCTTCAGATGACAGGAACACAGGTTCGTTACCACTGCTATGATGAGGGGTTAGGTCCTGTGTTGGCTTACATAACAGGTAAATAGGTTAAACATGGGACGTCTCAGGACGTTAGTCCGTCTCCTTCTATTCTTCTCGTTGGTTGGCAGGTGACCCTCTCTGTCATTCCAAGCTGTAAAGAGAGACAGATTACCCACTGCTTAAGAAATCACTCTCCATCTCTCCATGATAAGTACAATACCTAAAAGATGTGGTGATTATTAAAACATTTAACAGATGAAGACTGAAAGGACTAAGTTAATCATTGGTCAAAAGTGAAGCTTTCAACCAATAAGTCCACTAAAATATGATCAGGCGTGTACTTACAGTAATGTTGGGAGCTGTGAGTCGAGTGATTTACTGTTTGACCGGAGCCCCACATGTCACCTTTCGGGGGGGGAAGAGGGAGGGGAAGGAATAGCGGGAGCTAGACTGACCCTACCTTAACAAGCAGCCGGCAATCAAACTATCACTTTCGGGGAGGGGGATAAAGGGGGGAGGGGGAATAGCGGGAGCTGGACTTACCTACCTTAACAAGTAGCCGGCAGTGTAACTATTGTTACTATACACTCCCTCGCTACTCCTATCTATTGAACTTTTCCCTCACATTCAACACTTTCACCTCACTCACACATAATTACTGTTTTTGCAGAGGTGCTCAGAATACAACAATTTAGAAGCATATACGTATAAAGATACACAACGTAGCCCAAACTGCCAATGTCCCAAACCCCTCCTTTAAAGTGCAGGCATTGTACTTCCCATTTCCAGGACTCAAGTCTGGCTATTTAAAAATAACTGGTTTCCCTGAATCCCTTCACTAAATATTACCATGCTCACACTCCAACAGCTCGTCAGGTCCCAAATACCATTTGTCTCCATTCACTCCTATCTAACACGCTCATGCACGCTTGCTGGAAGTCCAAGTCCCTCTCCCACAAAACCTCCTTTACTCACTCCCTCCCAACCTTTTCAAGGATGACCCCTACCCCGCCTCCTTTCCCTACAGATTTATATGCTTTCCATGTCATTCTACTATGATTCATTCTCTCTAAATGACCAAACCACCTCAACAACCCCTCTTCAGCTCTGTGACTAATACTTTTATTAACTCCACACCTTCTCCTAATTTTCACACTCCAAATTTTCTGCATAATATTTACACCACAAATTGCCCTTAGACAGGACATCTCCACTGCTTCCAACCGTCTCCTTGCTGCAGCATTTACAACCCAAGCTTCACACCCATATAAGAGTGTTGTTACCACTATACATTCATACATTCCCTTCTTTGCCTCCATAGATAATGTTTTCTGTCTCCACATATACCTCAATGCACCACTCACCTTTTTTCCTTCATCAATTTTATGATTAGCCTCTTTCTTTCAACGCACCAGCCATATCCCACTGAGGTGGGGTGGCCCAAAAGGAAAAACGAAAGCTTCGCCTTTTAAATTTAGTAATACAGTGGGCCCTCGACATTCGATACTAATCCGTTCCTGAGAGCTATCGAATGTCGAAAATATCGAAAGTCGAATTAATTTTCCCCATAAGAAATAATGGAAATCAAATTAATCCGTGCAAGACACCCAGAAGTATGAAAAAAAATTTTTACCACATGATATATTAAGTTTAATGCAATAGAATAATTACAATAACAACAATAACAATAGATTAATAACAATAGAATAATTGACACTTACCTTTAATGAAGATCTGGTGATGGTTGATAGGATGGGAGGAGGGGAGAGTGTGGATGGTGTTAGTGTTTAGAAGGGGAATCCCCTTCCATTAGGACTTGAACTGGCAGCCTCACCATGCCTTACCACACTGTGTATGCCACTATGATTCTTAAATCTTTCAAACCAACCTTTGCTGGCCTTAACTTCACTCACATCACCACTAGTTGCAGGCAATTTCTTTACCAAATCATCATGCACTCCGACACACGCACTCCACTTTCGTACTTTGCAACTATCTCTTTCTTCATTTCAATAGTCATTGGCACCTTTTTTCTCGAAGGGTTGGCACTAGAAGCTTTCTTGGGGCCCATGGTTACTTACTTTGCAGAAACAAGCACCAAAAAACAGTGATAATATGGATAATATGGATTGTACCCTTAGATGCGTGCACACTGGCTGGTTTGTAAACACTGGCACACACGGGGCAGTTCAGGCCACACGTGGACACGTCTCGTACGAATCGTATCGAATGTCGGGTTTTCCATTGAATGTCGAGGCGAAATTTTGCATTAAAATGCATCGAATGTCGGATTTATCGAATGTCGATGACTTCGAATATCAGGGGTCCACTGTATATACAGGAGAAGGGGTTACTAGCCCCCTTGCTCCTGGCATTTTAGTCGCCTCTTATGACACGCATGGCTTGTGGAGGATGAATTCTGTTCCACTTCCCCATGGAGAATGATTAACCTCATCCTTCATAAATCCATCCGCTGACACGTCAACTCTCAAATATCTGAAAACATTCACTTCTTCCATACTACTACTCTTCATTTTGATATCCAATTTTTCTTTATCTAAATCATTTGATACCCTCATCACCTTACTCCTTTCTATGTTCACTTTCAACTTTCTGCCTCTACATACACACACCCAAACTCATCCACTAACCTTTGCAATTTTTCTTTAGAATTTCCCATAAGCACAGTATCATCAGCAAAAAGTAACTGTGTCAATTCCCATTTTGTATTTGATTCCAAATAATTTAATCCCACCCTTCTCCCAAACACCCTAGCATTTACTTCTTTTACAACTCCATCTATAAATATATTAAACAGCCATGGTGACATTACACATCCCTGTCTAAAACCTACTTTTACCAGGAAGTAATCTCCCTCTCTTCTACACACCCTAACCTGAGCCTCACTATTCTCATACAAGCTCCTTACAGCATTTAGTAAATTGCTACTTATTTCATATACGTACTTGCAACATCTGCCACATTGCTCCCCTATCTACTCTATCATATGCCTTTTCTAAATCAATAAATGCAATGAAAACTTCCCTACCTCTCTCTAAATACTGTTCACATATATGCTTCAACGTAAACACTTGATCTATCCATCTCCTACCCACTCTAAAACCTCCTTGCTCATCTGCAATCCTACATTCTGTCTTACCTCTAATTCTTTCAATAATAACCCTACTATACACTTTTCCTGGTATACTCAGTAAACTAATTTCTCTATAATTTTTACAATATCTTTTGTCCTCCTTCCCTTTATATAAAGGAACTATACATGCTCTCTGCCAGTCCCTAGGTACCTTCCCCTCTTTCATACATTTTTTTTTTTTTTTAACAAGTCGGCCGTCTCCCACCGAGGCAGGGTGACCCAAAAAAGAAAGAAAATCCCCAAAAAGAAAATACTTTCATCATTCAACACTTTCACCACACTCGCACATTATCACTGTTTTTGCAGAGGTGCTCAGAATACAACAGTCTAGAAGCATACACATATAAAGATGCACAACATATCCCTCCAAACTGCCAATATCCCAAACCCCTCCTTTAAAGTGCAGGCATTGTACTTCCCATTTCCAGGACTCAAGTCCGACTATATGAAAATAACCGGTTTCCCTGAATCCCTTCACTAAATATTACCTTGCTCACACTCCAACAGATCGTCAGGTCCCAAGTACCATTCGTCTCCATTCACTCCTATCTAACACGCTCACGCACGCTTGCTGGAAGTCCAAGCCCCTTACCCACAAAACCTCCTTTACCCCCTCTCTCCAACCCTTTCGAGGACGACCCCTACCCCGCCTTCCTTCCCCTATAGATTTATATGCTTTCCATGTCATTCTACTTTGATCCATTCTCTCTAAATGACCAAACCACCTCAACAACCCCTCTTCTGCCCTCTGACTAATACTTTTATTAACTCCACACCTTCTCCTAATTTCCACACTTCGAATTTTCTGCATAATATTTACACCACACATTGCCCTTAAATAGGACATCTCCACTGCCTCCAACCGTCTCCTCGCTGCTGCATTTACCACCCAAGCTTCACACCCATATAAGAGTGTTGGTACTACTATACTTTCATACGTTTATTAAACAAAAATACAAAGCACTTGAACACTGTATCCCTCCCTGCTTTTAGCATTTCTGTCATGATCCTGTCAGTTCCAGCTGCTTTACCCCCTTTTCATTCTACGTAATGCCTCATGCACCTCCCCCATGCTCACATCCTGCTCTTCGTCACTCCTAAAAGATGTTATGCCTCCCTGTCCAGTGCATGAAAGTACCACCTCTCTTTCTTCATTGACATTTAAAAGCTCCTCAAAATATTCCTGCCATCTACTTAATACCCCCAGCTCCTCATCTACTACTCCCCTACTCTGTTTTTAACTGACAAATCCATTCGTTCCCTAGGCTTTCTTAACTTGTTTATCTTCAAAAATTTTTCTTATTTTCATCAAAATTTCTTGACAGTGCCTACCCCTCTGTCATCTGCTCTCCTTTTGCACTCTCACCACTCTCTTCACCTTTCTTTTACTCTCCATATACTCTGCTCTTCTTATAACACTTCTGCTTTGTAAAAATCTCTCATAAGCTACCTTTTTCTCTTTTATCATACCCTTTACTTCATCATTCCACCAATCACTCCTCTTTTCTCTTGCACCCACCCTCCTATAGCCACAAACTTCTGCCCCACATTCTAATACTGCATTTTTTAACTATTTCAACCCTCTTCAACCCTTCCCCCCCACTACTTATACTTGCACTAGTTCACCTTTCTGCCAATAGCTGCTTATATCTCACCCTAACTTCCTCCTCCCTTAGTTTATACACTTTCACCTCTTTCTTACTTGCTGTTATAGTTTTCCTTTTGTTCCATCTACCTCTTACTCTAACTGTAGCTACAACTAAATAATGATCCAATATATCAGTTGCCCCTCTATAAACATGTACATCCTGAAGCCTACCCATCAGCCTTTTATCCACCAATACGTAATCTAACAAACTGCTTTCATTACGTGCTATGCATAAATGTTTACTATAACCCATTTTTCACATCCAACCCTTATTTTACTCCACATAACCCTTGAATTAACACATTTGTATTCCCTCTTTTCCTGCCATAACCTATCATTCAACATTATTGTTACTCCTTCTTTAGCTCTAACTCTATTTGAAACCCCATGACCTAATCCCATTTATTTCTCCCCACTGAAACACTCTTACCCCCTTCAGCTTTGTTTCACTTAAAGCCAGGACATCCAGCTTCTTCTCATTCATAACATCCACACTTATCTCTTTCTTATCATTCGCACAACATCCATTCACATTCAAACATCCCACTTTGACTACATGTCTTAATGTTTTTTTATTGTTCTGTAGTGGTAAAAAATGCTTGCAGGAAAGAAACTTTTAATACTTATCAACATTTCACCCACTGAGCACGTCATCAGTTGGTGAATCACTGTACGGTATGTATTAATAAAGGATTTCTTTTCTTAAGGTGTATATTTTTACTACTGTCTGCTGGCTCAATTATTTATTTTCATGCTGTTTAATGTAAATGATTGTTTGAAAGTCAAATTTTATGTTTGAATGGAAAAAAAGTCCTTGAAAATAAAAAATTTTTGATAATTCAAAAAGCATTCAAAATCAAATACATGTTTACTCTTAATTTGCCTTGTTTCTGTTTCAGTAATTGGGGGTCGAGATAGCCAAATGAATGAATTGCTCGTGAAACGTCACCTGCATCATCAAGATGTTTATGTTCATGCAGAAATGCATGGTGCTCCTAGTGTAATTATCAAGAACCCAACTGGCAAAGAACCACCACCCAAGACTCTGCATGAAGCTGGCATTATGGCTCTTTGCTATAGGTAAGTTTATTGAAAACTAGCTAATTTAACATCCATCTTGGATATAGTTTTTAACAAGAAAAAATTTACGTACTGTGTGGATTACAGTATCAAAAGCCACTCTGAGATTAAACACTAAACACTGTAGACCACAAGCATAGCTACTCCTGCAGTCACAAATAGGTACTGTATTTACATATAGGTAATCACATGTGATTGTGTGTGAGTGAGGTGAAAGTGTTGAATGATGATGAAAGTACAGTGGACCCCCGCTTAACGATCACCTCCAAATGCGACCAATTATGTAAGTGCGTTTGTACGTGTATGTTTGGGGGTCTGAAATGGACTAATCTACTTCACAATATTCCTTATGGGAAAAAATTCGGTCAGTACTGGCACCTGAACATACTACTGGAATGAAAAAAGTTCATTAACCGGGGGTCCACTGTATTTTCTTTTTGGGGGTTTTCTTTCTTTTGGGTCACCCTGCTTCGGTGGGAGACAGCCAACTTGTTAAAAACAAAAACAAAATCACATGTGACACACACAGAAGTATTCGTTTCCTAGGAGTCATTTATAATTCAGTAATTTAGTTATGCACTATGAGAGATCGTGTGTAAGTATAGTAATTGGCTTTCTCTGCAGTCGTGCTTGGGATGAAAAAGTTGTGACTTCGGCATGGTGGGTATGGGGTAACCAAGTAAGCAAGACAGCACCCTCAGGAGAATACCTCACTACGGGTGCCTTCATGATCCGTGGCAAAAAGAACTTCCTGCCACCTTCGCACCTAATCTATGGTTTTGGGTTCCTCTTCAGACTGGAGGAAGAGTCCATTGCTAGGTAAATATTTTTTTACATAGTTTTTTGGGGAAGGGTGACATGATTTAGTAGCATTATAAATATTATTGTTGATGCATTTACTGCATTGTTGACTTCATTGTGGAAAACTGTTACTTATTCTTTCCTGCACATTTTTATATTTATTTCTTATTTTTTTTATCATATCAGTACTGAAACAGTTTTGGCATATTGTTATCCAGTGAACAAATTTTGTGGGCTAGTGATCAGGTAATGGCATTAGTTATTCAGATGATGAAGTTTTCTCAAACTGCAGTTTTTAAATGCATAATATACTTGATGCCTCCTCTTAAAGCACTTGAGAATATTTCTGGATCTATTAAACAGTTATTTGGTGCTCTATTGAAGTGCTTGAAAATGTTTCTGGATCTATTAAACACTAACTTGGTGCTCTTTTGAAGTGCTGGAGAATGTTTCAGCATCTATAGAACTGATTTCGTACCTCTCTTAAGTGCTAGATAATTTATGGATCAATAAAACAGTGCAACAAGAAAATATAATACAGAGCTTACTGTACTTACTATGTTTTCAAATTATACAAAATACTTTGTGTGTCTGTCTGAGTTTGGTATAAATATTAGTTTTGGCTGTTGTTATGAAACAGAGGAATAAGATATCAAGGTATATATTTACTTAGAACTGTTTTTGCCTCTGCTAAAACAGTGATTATGTATGAGTGAGGTGAAAGTGTTGAATGATGATGAAAGTATTTTCTTTTTGGGGATTTCCTTTCTTTTTGGGTCACCCTGTCTTAGTGGGAGATGGCCAACTTGTTGAAAAAAAAAAAGTGAGTATAAACTCTATTGTGTTTTAGACATGTTGGTGAAAGAAGAGTGCGTTCTTTAGAGGAAGATGAAGTAAAGGATGCCATGAGCAGTCTTTCTGTAGCAGACACCGACGATCACAGTGACTTATTACTCGAGGAGGAAAATGGATTAATGGAAAAAAATAAAGAGGAGAATGAAGGTACAGACACATGTCAAGACTGGCATATCACTGTTAAATTTCTTTACTTTATTTTTCATAAGTATTTATTTATACCATTGATATAAATTTTCCTAGTCTTTCCTTCTTAAAGGATGTGGTCATATGTAGAATCTCTCTCGAGTTCAACTACTGACCATCACCCCTTCAAATCCCAAGGAAAAAAGCAACATTTGCAACTTAACCCTTTGAGGATCAACAGGCCCTCTCCGAGACTTGTTCTCAGGGTCGGCCAAATTTAAAAAAAAAAAATTATTTTTTCTTATGAAAAGGTAGAGAATCTTTTCCCGATCATAATGACACCAAAAGTATGAAATTTGATGGAAAACTTACGGAATTATGCTCTCGCAAAGTTAGCAGTCTCGACGATGTTTATGCATTGGCGATTTTGCCCACTTTGAGCCCTATTTTCGGCCAATTCCAGTGTACTAGTCGACAAAAATCATAACTATTTCTCTAGAACTCCATTTTTTCTATTGAATGAGTACAAGAAACCACCCATTTACTGATTTCAACTATCCAATACAGTGGTCAGAATTTAGCAATTTTGCCAATTTCACACAAATTTCAAAAGATGTCAATTTCCAAATAGGGTCCAGAATAAACAAGAAAGACATTCCTGGCACTAAAATAACATTTCCTCTGTTCGTTAGTCACATCCCCAGGCCCCTCTTATATTTCTTTGACTTTCCACTTTCAATTTTTATTCTTACAAAAAATAGAAGATTTATTGTTATGCAGACTGCTGCATTAGTGTAGAAATGGTATAAATAATATCAGCGCACTTGTGAAAGAATATTAGACTCGCCAGTTGACGTGTATTGGATGCTTGGCATGATTTGTTTACTTTTGAGCTTTGGTAAAAATCTAACATTTCTGCTTCTTTGAGCTCAGTTTGAAGGTACTTTTCATTGTAAAACCAGTCAAAATCATCTCGATTTCTGTAACATGTCTTCCATTCTATAAAATGAGACCAAGAAAACTAGAATACAACAATAAATTCCATACGAAAATACAGTGCAAAGTCGCTGTTTTATTCCAAGAACACGGTCAAAGTTTTTTTTTTCTCATTATGCACTGTGTGCTGCAGGATTTTTTTTATACTGCGCACACTGACCACATAGACCCATTCTTTCATATGTATGCCTACCAGCTTTCTCCTACTAGATTTGAGGGCGCTAGAATTTAGGTGTACTAGTACGTCAAAACCTCTGGTGCGTAAGCTGTACTAGTACGGCCGAAACCCTCAAAGGGTTAAGAAGTAACAAAATGGTATGTATATGTGTAAGGCAGTCATCACTTATGGCTTTACTCTACGTATTCCAAAACTGTTAATCTATTCTCTCAGCAAAAATTTGTTGACAAATACTGAGCCATTTTGTCATTTTACCTCTGTATTATTTATGAATTGTAAAAGCCTCTTGAATGCTAACTAGTTCCATATTACCACCCTCGTTTATCGTTGATGAGCCAATCGTTTCTCTTTTCCCCCCTCTTATAACCACCAACTACTCCTGTACACTAAGGCACTGTATTCTTTAATCTACCCGTGCACTGTGGCATTGCATTCTTCAATCTACCCCTTACCTATTTGACTTTATTCCCTGCACTCTTCTTTGCCCGACTTTTATAGCATATCTTAATAGCTCATACTAACTGTCTCCTTTCCTAGTCACTAATGCCATTCTTGTTCTCCATCCTCCTTTTACTGTAACTGCCATTAAATAATGAACTAATATGTCAGTCGCTCATCTCAAAACATGCATATCCAAAGGTCTTCCAATTGATTTTTTTTTCCATCACTACTTGTAAGAGTTATGTCATCATTAATGCTTACAAGACAGAAAATCCAGCAATCCTTCCAGATTGTAAAACTTGTAATAGGTTTCTGTTGCACACTTGTATGACAGTACCTTCCTGGGTGCTTGTTGTCTACCAGCTTACTTAAAATAAAAGAAAATATGACAATCTATAAACACTGTTTAATTTATATATGAATCATAATTTACAGCTTTTATGAGGTTGCGAAAATTTGGCAACTGATAAAACTAGTAATTTTTATTTTCTTTAATCTATATCAGATACAACACTACAGTCAATGAAAGAGGAATCTGATGATGAAGAGGACGAGAAGGGCAGCAGAGAACAAATAGATAATAAATTTGGGACAGAGGTAAAAGAAGATGAAAAAATAATAGAATTTCCAGATACAGTGGTAGACATAACTCATATTGGTGGCGATCAGTAAGTATCTCATTTAGTTGATCCTACATATTTTGCCTCCAAAATTCAATTTGCCTATAAAAATTGCAACACATGTTAGTTTATAACTAATATCTAGTGTTGTTTTAAGTGAATAAAATATCTTAAAATATGACTGCAAAGTAGTATTATTGTTTTCAGATTTTCCATCCGTGCACGAACAGTTTCTACAATGTCACAGTTATCTGTGCAGTCTGGTGGAATGGAAGAGGATAATGAAGTTGTATATCTTGGAGATAACCAGCCAGTCATCATAAACAGAAAAATAAATTCTAATAATGAATTCAATAAAGGTTAGGAAATAATTTAATACCACTGAATTGAAGAAAATGTTTTGCACATTTCTTTAAGAAGGGAGGATAACTTGATACTGGTGAAGTGCTCTTTTCCAAAGAACTGCAGCTACCCTCCCCTCCTTTCAATCAGACTAGATATTCTCACATTCTCGGGCCCCTTTTGACACATGGTTTTAGTGCTTCACTATGAATGGGATGATACTTCTCATCTAGTGTTAGATAGTGTTAGTCCAGGCTGAGGGGATACAGTAAATCCTTTAAAAAATGTGGGAATATGTTCCTGAAAATAATTGGTTTATGAAAATTATCGGTATGTAAGGTGAAGGACAAATGGGAAAAATAAGGCTACATTCAGAAACCTCTAAATTTACCAAACTTTTTTAAATACATGTATTCTGTTAGGTGCAAATTACTACTAATAGTTTATCTATATTATATTCTAGCTTTTGTTGCTTGGTGTAAGACACTATTTCAAAATTACTGACTTGTTTGACAGGTAAAAAGGGAAGTCGCGCAAATTCCAAGATTGCGAAAAGGCAAATTGAGCAAAAAAGTGTAGAGGAACAGAAGTGTCATCAAGATATAGACAGCAAGGGGAGTGCACCTAAGCGTGGGCAGAGAAGCAAGATGAAAAAGATGAAAAAGTATCGTGATCAGGATGAAGAGGAACGCGAAATGAGAATGCGCTTGTTGCAGGTGAGAGGTTAGTCTTATTTGGGTGCATTGGAGTATTTGTACAGTTTCCTTTGGTCTATTAGTTTACATAAGTTTTCAAAATTTTATAGTTTAGCTGTTTTTTTTTTTTTTTTTTTTTTTTTTTCAACAAGTCGGCCGTCTCCCACCGAGGCAGGGTGACCCAAAAAAGCTGTTACCCTATTTTATTTACCTTTTAACTTTAAATTATTAAAATGTTCCCATTGAGGTAATGTACAGAGGGTTCCTGAGTTATGAGCAGAAGTACTTACAAAATGGGGCCCATAGAAATAAACAGTATTACTATGAATGCTGATCTACAATTACAGACATTTAGAGTGCAATTAAGCTGAACTTCGGATATTATTTTTCTCAATTTTTTATCATATGCACTGATTTTTATATATGTAAATAATAAATAATAATAATATAATTTCAAAGGAGAAACTTGTGTTTTTCTTTTTAGGTGACCCTGCCTTGGTGGGATATGGCCAGTTTGTTGAAAAAAGAAATAATGGAATAGGTGGTAGGTCAGTGAAACCAGTTAAGAGTTCTTATAAGGATAGTGAGGGTCAGGTTAAGTTATGTAGAAGAGAGGGAAGTTATTTTCCAGTAAAAGTAGGCCTTAGACAGGAATGCATGATGTCACCATGGTTGTTCAATATATTTATAGATGGGGTTGCGAGAGGAGTGGAATTAGAAGATAAAGAATCTAATACAAAGTGGGAGTTGTCACAGTTGCTTTTTGCCAATGACAAGGTGCTTTTGGGAAATTCTGAAGAGAAGCTGTATAGGTTGGTGGATAAATTTGGGAGAATAGGTAAAAGAAGGAAAGAGTAAGGTGATAAGGGTAACAAAAAAATCAGGTAATGAAAGACTGGATATCAGATTGGAAGGAGGGAGTATGGAGGAAGTGAATGTGTTCAAACATTTGGGAACAGACTTGTCAGCAGATGGGTTTGTGAAAGACAAGGTGAACTGTAGAACTGATGAGGGAAAAGAGGTGAGTGGTGCACTGAGGCATCTCTGAAGACAAAGAATATTATCCATGGAGGCAAAAAGGGGAATGTATAAAAGTATAATGGTACAATGCTCTTCTATGGTTGTGAATGTTAGGATGACGAGAAGGCTGGAGGCAGTGGAAATATGCCTGATGGCAGTGTGTAGTGTGAATATTATACAGAGATCTCATAGCTAGGAGATTATAAGATGCGGGGTTAATAAAAGTATTATTCAGAGGGGGTGAAGAGGGGTTGTTGAGGTGGTTTGCAGATTTAGAGAGGATGTAACAAAATGGGATGACTTGAAAGGCATGCAAGTCTGTAGTGGAGGGAAGGTGGGGTAGGGATCATCCTAAGAAAGGTTGAAGGGAGGGGGGGGTAAAGGAGGCTTTGTATGCAAAGGGCTTAGACGTTCAGCTAGCATGTGTGAATGTGTTACTTAGAACTTTGCATACTGCTAGAGTGTGAGCAAGATAACATTTATGAAGGGATTCAGGGAAACCAGTTAGCCAGATTTAAGTCCTGAGGTAAAAAAAATAGTGGGCTTGCATTTGTTTTGTAGCGAATGCTCAAGAATTAGGTAATTAATAATTAGGGCTTTTTTTTTTAATCTAAATATCGTAATTTTATTTTTTCTCCTGTTATATGAATTGAATTTTATGCAGTATATGTTTGGAGTGATGTCTAAACTGTCATATCTCGGCACCTCTACAAAGACAATGATTATGTGTGAATGAGTGAAAGTGTTGAGTGATTGTGTAAATGTTTTTCTTTTTTGGGTCACCCTGGCTCAGTAGGAGATGGCTGGCATGTTAAACAAAAAAATGTTCATTTTATGTAAGTGTGTGAGGTAGGCTCATATTTGATAGTTAGGTTTTTGGTTAAGAATTGTGGAAGCAATAATTACAATTTTAATTTAAATCCAGAAATTGTTCTCCAAAATGCAACAATGTATATATATCGTATTTTACACTGTTTATATTAATTTTGTGCATGTGTGGTGGACTCGTATTTGTTTCGTAGGCATTAGTAAAGAACTGTAGATTCAATAATTACTTTGGGTGATGTAAGTTGAGGCAGCCTGTCCTGTACTTTTTCGGTGTGTTGCTGCTTGGAACATAGCCAGACTTTATACTTTTTGTTTTATGGGAGAATAGATTCCTTGTCCCAACCATCCAAAATTTAGGAGGGCAATTTGTTCATAAATTGAAGACCTCTGTGTAAAAAAATATGGAAGATATTCATTTTTGACATTTCTTTCTTTCATAATACCTTCCAAATTAAATAACAGTAGTACAGGTACACATTCTTTATCCAAAACCCTTGGGGCCAGTAGTGTTTTGAATTATAGAATTTTTCAGATTTCAGAGCGAAGGTGAAGTGTAGGGCAGCAACCCATAATCAAACATTAACACTGCAGCAAAAACGTATGAATACTCACACTAAGTGGGATAAATAAGGACTACAAATACTACTACAGTTTATTTATAGAGTAATATATTGACAAATGAAATAATGGGATAAATATAGACCAGGAACATGATTCTCAAGTGATGAAGCAGCACTATGACAGATGGCATATTTAAAGACTTGACTGATGACACATTTTCACCATATCGTCTCTGGGGACTTTTTCACCTGTGTTCACAATGTCATCATCATCATCACTACTATTGTCATGCTTATTTGTATTTAACACCATTTCTTTAAATCATAAACAGTGGTAGTTCCAACACCATATTCTTCAATATGATGTCGTGCTGATACACCACGATCAAGCTTCTACAGTATCTCTACTTTCTGCATTATTGATAACGTCAGATACTTCCTTTTAATTTTCTTACTGTTACCCATAGGGGTATCTGCAGCTCTTTTTGACATTTTCACAGTGAAATTTAACAGTCACAAAATAAAAAGCAAAAACAAAATATCAGTGAACAGCAGAGGCACATGTGAACACTACAAGTGCTGAGACACAACTGATGCCTGCCACTCTGGCTGTCAGTAATTAATGCTCCACACTCCACAAAAAACTTCAGTTTTCGGGACTTTTCGAATTTCAGAATTTCGGATAAAGGAATGTGGACCTGTACCAGTGATAATAAAACTGATTGCAAAAACTGTCATGTAAGTATTGACAGTAAAATCAGCAATTTTAGATGAAAAAGTCAGTTGAAACATTTTTCTATTTTGATTACAGGATAAAATATGTATCATGATTTCAACTAAAAAGGAGGCCCATGTGTTCTGAAGGTATTACAAAATATTGCCCATTTCTACATGTGGTGTTTGTCATGTACTGATAATCATGTTACTGGGATTTTCATCTAGTGATGCACATTTCTTGTACACGCACTATGTGATACATATTATTTGTTAGTTATCTGGAATTGGTAAACAAATGATCTTTAATACAATCATTTACCAGTAACGAGGCTTGCTTACAGTTAAATACACTCATATTTTTTATTTAATTTCTTCATTATCAATGCACTATAACCAAATAAATTTTTCTAGTTGTATCTTGTACAACCATTTTCAGTGGCATTATCTTGTATTCTAGTCTGCAGGCAACAATACGGATCAGAAGAAAGGTAAAACTGTCAAGAAAGATGGTAAAGAAGTAAAGGGAAAAGGCATAGGCACAAAGCCGAGTGCTAAACCCAGAGCCTGTAACCAGCCCAGGGAGGAAAGTGAGGCACACATTACACAGCAAGATCAACTGCACACTGAAGACATCATAACCAACAAGGAAGAAAACCAAGATGAAGAGGATGAGGATGAGTCATCACAGGTTCTCTCATTGCTCTGACTTACTATTAAAAACCATCAATGGCATTAGTGAAAAATTATAAATTTGTTGAAAGATACTGTATTAGTGTAAAACTTAAGGATTGTTACTGGTTGTAGGAATATATCATGTTTGACCTCATTTGAAGCTACAGTATATTTACAATAGTATGTGGGAACAGTAGCCAGCAAGTGCCTATTGAGTTTCTAACTTGGTAAGGATACGAGTTATTTAGATGTTTATGAGTGACATTTGTAACTTGGCATTTAATAATTGGGTTTTGTAAGAAATAGCATTGCTGACTTATTTGGTTGAATCCTTAGTTGTCATCTCAAACTTTCCTGCTGACCTAACTGAGCTCAGTAGTTACCTGCCCATCTGAAAACTGTCCATAGAAAAGACATCTCTAATGAAATTTGATTGCTTCCCATTCCTCAGTTCTCAGGCACTGTAAGATCCATATGAGCTTAGCACTTCCCATAAATATAATAGTAATACATGAAATAGCAATGTACAGAACAGTAATCCTTCACTCTGCAGGTTAGGTGTATGTGAATTCATTGTTATTCAATGCTCCATTTCTACCAGTAATTCTTTATGTGCAGTACAATCACTCTTGTTCAATCAGTGTGATTGGCAATATGTAAGAAAGATTCCTATGATGAAGAATTAACCCTTTGACTGTTTTCGACGTATAAATACGTCTTACGAGCCAATGTTTCTGACGTATATATACTCAATAATTCTAGCGGCTTCAAATCAAGCGGGAGAAAGCTGGTAGGCCCACATGTGAGAGAATGGGTCTGTGTGGTCAGTGTGCACCACATAAAAAAAATCATGCAGCACACATTGCGTAATGAGAAAAAAAAAACTCTGATCGCTTTTTTGGAATAAAACGCCGACTTTGAGGTGTATTTTCGCATAGTATTTATCATTGTATTCGCGTTTTCATGGTCTTAGGTGATAAAATGGAAAACATATTACAGAAATAGAGATGATTTTCATTACTTTGACGATGAAAACGACCTTGAAACTGAGCTCAAAGTAGCGGAAATGTTCGATTTTTACCAATGTTCAGGAGTAAATAAATCACACCACACTTCCAATACACGTCAACTGGGGAGTCTAATATTCTTTCACTAGTGCACTGATATTATTTATACCATTTTTACAATAATGCAGTAGTCTGCATAACAGTAAATTTTGTATTTTTTGTATGAATAAAAAGTCAAAATAGAAAGCAATAATAATATAAGAGGGGCCTAGAGATGTGACTAATGAACAGAGCATATGTTATTTTAGTGCCACGAATGTCTACCTTGTTTATTCTGGACCCTACTTTGAAATTGGCATCTTTTTTAGTTTGTGTGAAATTGGCCAAATTGCCAATTTCTGACCACCATATTGGGTAGTCCAAATTAGTAAATGGGAGGTTTCTTGTACTCAGCTGATAGATAAAATGGAGTTCTAAAGAAATAGCTATGAGTTTGGCCAACTGGAACAATGGAATTGGCTGAAAATAGGGCTCAAAGTCGGCGAAATCGCAGATGCGCATATGTCGCCGAGACCGCTAACTTCGCGGGAGCATAATTCCATGAGTTTTCGACCAAATTTTGAACTTTTGGTGTCATTACCATCGGGAAAAGATTCTCTATCATTTCATAAGAAGAAAAAATTTTTTTTTGTTCAAAAATTGAGCGACATAGAAGGACAGTTTCAGAAAGGGGCCTGAAACAGTCAAAGGGTTAAAGTGTTGACCTCACTGAGATTTAGAAATAGCCAGGTTCAAAAATAATCACCTGACACCTATATGTTATTGTATATGTTTATAATGGCAAGCAATATTGTTGATAATAGATACACAGAATTGTTCTTTGAAAATTGATTAAATAAATATCCTTTTATTTCATTACAGATTGCAGATGACCTGAACATTATCAATACATTAACAGCAATACCTGTGGCTGAAGATGAACTACTTTACACCATTCCTATGGTTGCTCCATACACTGCTATGGCTAACTTCAAGTATGTAATTTTTTTTTTTATATTCTGGCCATCTCCTACCAAGGCAGGGTGACCCAGAAAAGGAAATAAATTCACTGTCATTCATTCAGTTGCTGTCTTGTCAGAAGTGTGTTGACAATTCAGTTCGTATGACCGTCCGAATTGATACATCCTCACCCCTCCTTCAGAGTGCAGGCACTGCCATTCCCACTTCCTGGACTCTTAACTCTGGCTAACCGATTACCCTGAATCCCTTCATAATTGTTACCTTGCTCACACTCCAACAGTACGTCCATTAAAAATCACTTAGTCTCCATTCATCTCTATCTAACACACTCGCACAAGTCTGCTGAATGCTCAAGCCACTAAAACTAGAAGCCTCCTTTACCTTCTCCCTTGAACTGTTTCTGGGAAGATCCCTACCCTTCCTGTTTTCCACTCCAGATTTGTATACCCTCTTTGTCATTCTATTCCTCTCCTCAGCCCTCATAATTATAAGTTTGGTAACTCCACACCGCCTTTCAGTTTCTATGCTCGGAATTCTCTGCAAAATAGTCATATTACACATTGCCTCCAGCCTCTTTCTCGCTGCAACGCTAAGAACCCCAAAATCTCACCCATGTAAAACACTTGGTATCACTACATTGGTACATTTTTTTGTTTGCTTCCATAAACTTCTTTTTACAGATGCCTCAATACACCACCTACCTTTTCCATTAATTTTTTCTGTGGTTTACTTCATCATTCAGAGACCCATCTACTGACATGTCCACTTCCAGATATTTTAATACAGCCACTTCATATCCTTCCTACAATCTTGTATTTAATCTATCATTGCCCAGATTTTTTGTTACTCTTATCATCTTGCTGTTCTCCATGTTCATTTTTAATTTCCCATTTTTACATATTTTCCCAAATTCATCCACCAACCTTTGCAACATGTCTTCAGAATCTCCCAAAAGAATTGCGGTTAGCAGAGATCAAATGTGGCAAATCCCACCCTAGCATTCACATTTTTACAGCATCATTTATAAATATGCTAAGCAACCATGGGGCCATCATGCATCCCTGCATAAGTGCTAGTTTCACTGAGAAATAGCCCCCCATCCCTCTCCTACATATTCTAACCTGTACCTCACTATCTGCATAAAACTCTTAACGAGGATTAATAATTTCCAGACATTTGCTGCATCTACACCATGACTTCCCTATCCATCCTGTCATACTTTTTTCTATATCCACAAATGCAGTAAACAGCTTATCACTATTATCCAAGTGCTTCTGACTTTAACAAGTCGGCCGTCTCCCATTGAGGCAGGGTGACCCAAAAAGAACGAAAATCCCCAAAAAGAAAATACTTTCATCATCATTCAACACGTTCACCTCACTCACACATAATCACTGTTTTTGCAGAGGTGCTCAGAACACAACAGCTTAGAAGCATATACATATAAAGATACACAACATATCCCTCCAAACTGCTAACATCCCAAACCCCTCCTTTAAAGTGCAGGCATTGTACTTCCCATTTCCAGGACTCAAGTCTGGCTATATAAAAATAACCGGTTTCCCTGAATCCCTTCACTAAATATTACCCTGCTCACACTCCAACAGATCATCAGGTCCCAAATACCATTCGTCTCCATTCACTCCTATCGAACATGCTCATGCACACCTGCTGGAAGTCCAAGCCCCTCGCCCACAAAACCTCCCTTACCCCTTCCCTCCTACCTTTTCAAGGACGACCCCTACCCCACCTTCCTTCCCCTACAGATTTAAATGCTCTCCATGTCATTCTACTTAGATCCATTCTCTCTAAATGACCAAACCACCTCAACAACCCCTGTTCAGCCCTCTGACTAATACTTTTATTAACTCCACACCTTCTCCTAATTTCCACACTCCAAATTTTCTGCATAATATTTACACCACACATTGCCCTTAGACAGGACATCTCCACTGCCTCCAACCGCCTCCTCGCTGCTGCATTCACAACCCAAGCTTCACACCCATATAAGAGTGTTGGTACTACTGTACTTTCATGCATTCCCTTCTTTGCCTCCATAGATAATGTTTTTTGTCTCCACATATACCTCAGTGCACCACTCACCTTTTTCCCTCATCAATTCTACGATCAACCTCATCCTTCATAAATCCATCCGCCGACACGTCAGCTCCCAAGTATCTGAAAACATTCACTTCCATACTCCTCCTCCCCAATTTGATATCCAATTTTTCTTTAAATCATTTGATACCCTCATCACCTTACTCTTTTCTATGTTCACTTTCAACTTTCTACCTTTACACACACTCCCAAACTCATCCACTAACCTTTGCAATTTTTCTTTAGAATCTCCCATAAGCACAGTATCATCAGCAAAAAGCAACTGTGTCGATTCCCATTTTGTAATTAATTCCCCATAATTTAATCCCACCTCTCTCCTGAACACCCTAACATTTACTTCTTTTACAGCCCCATCTATAAATATATTAAACAACCATGGTGACATTACACATCCCTGTCTAAGACCTACTTTTACTGGGAAGTAGTCTCCCTCTCTTCTACACACCCTAACCTGAGCCTCACTACCCTCATAAAAACTCTTTACAGCATTTAGTAACTTACCACCTATTCCATATACTTGCAACATCTGCCACATTGCTCCCCTATCCACTCTATCATATGCCTTTTCTAAATCCATAAATGCAATAAAAACTTCCCTACCTTTATCTAAATACTATTTACATATATGCTTCAATGTAAACACTTGATCTACACATCCCCTACCCACTCTGAAACCTCTTTGCTCATCCAGAATCTTACATTCTGTCTTACCTCTAATTCTTTCAATTATAACCCTACCATACACTTTTCCTGTTATACTCAGTAAACTTATTCCTCTATAATTTTTACAATCTCTTTTGTACCCCTTCCCTTTATATAAAGGGACTATACATGCTCTCTGCCAATCCCTAGGTACCTTCCCCTCTTTCATACATTTATTAAACAAAAATACCAACCACTCCAACACTATATCCCCCCTTGGTGGGAGATGGCGGGCATATTAAAAAAAATAGCTGTTCCGAGGTTCATTTGAATTATGATGTTTATACAGTTCTTGCAAGACAGCTATTGAATAAGTGATGGTAAGTGTTTCCTTGGAGTCACCCTACCTTGGGGAAGAAATGCCCAATGTGGTAAAAAAAAATTATTTTGATGTAATTTTTATGGGTGCCTGTATTACAGCTTATATCTAGGTAGTAAACTACAAATTACCAGTTTCTTCTTTATCATAATGCTCTCATTTCATATTTTCATGGATTTAGAGGAGGCACTCACATGGATAGGATGCTTATTATTAAAAGAAGGTTAACTACATCCAGAATGAAACCCATCTATTATTATTCTCACCTGTCTTGCTTAATAGTAGCATGGAAAATTGGTTCAAGTTCCTGTTTGTTATAATATTTCCTTTATTAGGTACAAAGTTAAGCTAACCCCAGGACCTGGAAAAAAGGGAAAGGCCTGCAAGACTGCAGTGGCTCTCTTCTTGGGAGACAAATCTGCTACTCCTCGGGAGAAAGAATTACTTCGAGCTGTACGAGATCAAGACCTGGCAAGAAACCTACCCGGAAAAGTCAAAGTGTCTGCACCGAATATTACAAAAATCAGAAAATAGTCAAATGTTTTATTTCTAAATTTAATTTTTGTTTGTGTTTATATACAGAAATTTTATTATCTTGTGGCAATTAAAAACATATAGTTTTCTCATTAAGTTAAGGTTTTCCTTTAAAGCAACATAAAAAAAAAAACATGTTTTCAATCCTTAATTTAGTCTGCATCTTTGGTTTTTATTTATTGTGCTTTTGTGGAGAATAAAACCAGTTGAATTTCTCTTGTGAAGTTCAGATTTTTTTAAAAACTGCATATAAATAGCATTTTCATTTAACCCTATAGATTCCCTATTGGAGGGTTTTGGATGTACTTCTACAGTGTTATAGGTTAGCCATTTCTAAGACCATTTTTCTTGTTACTTTTGCTATAATTTTCATCATTTTTTTTTATGATTTTTTGAAAGTTTTTATTGCATTTATGGATTTAGAAAAGGCATATGATAGAGTGGATAGAGGAGCAATGTGGCAGATGTTGCAAGTATATGGAATAGGTGGTAAGTTACTAAATGCTGTAAAGAGCTTTTATGAGGATAGTGAGGCTCAGGTTAGGGTGTGTAGAAGAGAGGGAGAATACTTCCTGGTAAAAGTAGGTCTTAGACAGGGATGTGTAATGTCACCATGGTTGTTTAATATATTTATATATGGGGTTGTAAAAGAAGTAAATGCTAGGGTGTTTGGGAGAGGGGTGTGATTAAATTATGGGGAATCAAATTCAAAATGGGAATTGACACAGTTACTTTTTGCTGATGATACTGTGCTTATGGAAGATTCTAAAGAAAAATTGCAAAGGTTAGTGGATGAGTTTGAGAATGTGTGTAAAGGTAGAAAGTTGAAAGTGAACATAGAAAAGAGTAAGGTGATGAGGGTATCAAATGATTTAGATAAAGAAAAATTGGATATCAAATTGGGGAGGAGGAGTATGGAAGAAGTGAATGTTTTCAGATACTTGGGAGTTGACATGTCGGCGGATGGATTTATGAAGGATGAGGTTAATCATAGAATTGATGAGGGAAAAAAGGTGAGTGGTGCGTTGAGGTATATGTGGAGTCAAAAAACGTTATATATGGAGGCAAAGAAGGGAATGTATGAAAGTATAGTAGTACCAACACTCTTATATGGATGTGAAGCTTGGGTGGTAAATGCAGCAGTGAGGAGACGGTTGGAGGCAGTGGAGATGTCCTGTCTAAGGGCAATGTGTGGTGTAAATATTATGCAGAAAATTCGGAGAGTGGAAATTAGGAAAAGGTGTGGAGTTAATAAAAGCATTAGTCAGAGGGCAGAAGAGGGGTTGTTGAGGTGGTTTGGTCATTTAGAGAGAATGGATCAAAGTAGAATGACATGGAAAGCATATAAATATATAGGGGAAGGAAAGAGGGGTAGGGGTCATCCTCGAAAGGGTTGGAAAGAGGGGGTAAAGAGGTTTTATGGGCGAGGGGCTTGGGCTTCCAGCAAGCGTGCATGAGCGTGTTAGGAGTGAATGGAGACGAATGATACTTGGGACCTGACGATCTGTTGGAGTGTGAGCAGGGTAATATTTAGTGAAGGGATTCAGGGAAACCGGTTATTTTCATATAGTCGGACTTGAGTCCTGGAAATGGGAAGTACAATGCCTGCACTTTAAAGGAGGGGTTTGGGATATTGGCAGTTTGGAGGGATATGTTGTGTATCTTTATACGTATATGCTTCTAAACTGTTGTATTCTGAGCACCTCTGCAAAAGCAGTGATGTGTGAGTGTGGTGAAAGTGTTGAATGATGATGAAAGTATTTTCTTTTTGGGGATTTTCTTTCTTTTTTGGGTCACTCTGCCTCGGTGGGTGACGACAGACTTGTTGAAAAAAAAAAAAAAAAAAAATCCAGACAGCCATCTTTCCTGCTTATGAGCCAGTGTGAATGATTGGGAAACCCTCTCCCAAGTCTAGAAGTACACTGCTTTGCATCTCACTGCCTCACTTCCTTAGGAGAGGAGTTAGAGATCTTAGATTTGTTACTGGAGGATGACAGTGAATTCCTCTATTGACTTGATTCTACAAAATGCAACAATTATTGGGATGCTGTAAACCATGAACAATCTTTCCTTGTTATATTTTATTAAGAATTCAAAATAGAAAGCAGTGTAATAGAGGAGAGGCCTGGGGATGTGACTAATGAACAAAGAAAATGTTATTTTAGTGCCAGAGATGTCTACAGTGATTATTATAGACTCTTATTGGCATTTTTATAATTTTGTGTGAAATTGGCCAAATGGGCAGTTTCTTGGGCACAATCAATAGAATGGAAGGCACACTAGTGAAATAACTAAAAATTTCGTTGACAAGAACAGTGGAATTGGTCTAAAATGGGACTCCAAAGTGGGCAAAATCTCTGGTTTGTAAATTGCACTGAGACTGCTAACTTTGTGCCTGCATAATTCCATGAGTTTTCAGTGAAAGTTCATACTATTAGAGTCATTACCTTCAGAAGAAGATTCTCTACCATTTTGGAATAATTTTTTTTTTTTTTGTGGTGGAAGGGAGAATTTTTGGACATTGAGAGTTTGTTATATATTGGGGGTCTGGACAGTGAAAGTGTTAAAATACAACTTAATACGAGTCATTGTTAATATTACTGTACACAAAAAAAAGTAGGAAAGAGACTGGCAGTGCCTGTGGGTTTGGTCATTGGTTCAGGATGCAAGGTACTCAGCAGATGAAAAGTATTCCTATTAAGGTAGTTTTGTTAGGTTTGTGTCTATAGATGATAAGGTGTTTCCAGTAGTTGATTATAGTAGTCAACTACAGTATAATAGGATATGAAATCGACTGACGACGAACACATTGCTCATGTCAGGTTTGCAGAATTTGTGGGTTTTCTTTACAATTAGTGTCTGATGGGTGTTTTAAATAAACATTTAGGTAATGGTAGCTGCACAATGTGGTGTATCTAATATTTCACAAACAAGAAACACTCAGTGAACTGTATTTACATGTATATTTAAGTTTAGGATTTCAGTGGTTTTCGAGCATAACAGTCAGCAGTGTCTTTTCATATAGTATTACTATAACTTGCACATGGCTACCATCTGGCTTGCATTCACCCACTTCCAAGAGTAAAATTGAACTCCTTTAATATGTTCAGTAGCATGTTATTTAAGCCCAATAGTATAGCCTATAACATGTTACTGATGTTATAGAATAATACACATTGCAATACTTTTATAATTTGTTTAAAGTACAGTATTCTTAAACCATATATGGAATGTCAAAGAAGGGGTTCCTTTTAATTTACTTGAAATGCTAAATGTAGTACAGTATTGTTGAAATCTGGTATGGAATGATATCCATAACCCACAATATGGGTGACTGATTAAAATAACACATACCATAATTCTTTCAAAGCCTTATTTTACTTTTTTTTAAATTTATGCTCACTTTTACATACACAAATGGTTGCTATTCCTATTTCAGACTTGTATGTCTAAACAGGATACTCAAAAGATTTTACCCTTCAAGGGGGTGCCTTGATAGTGATGAATTGGAGTTGCCCTCTCCTTCCTTGGATTAAACTTGATCACATCCCATTTCCCAGGCACTGTATAGCCCCTAAGGCTTTAGCTCTTACCCATGAATATAAATAATAATCAAAAGATTTTAATGACTTGCCTATTTGTATAGTCTCTAAACCTGCATTTATCAGGGAAAATTTCATATACTGTATCATTTATAATGGTCTGTCAAAATTGACACTGTACTACACAAATATCAGCATGGTATTTGTTTAGCTTTGCCCTATTTTGATGAATGGAGAAAAGGGTAAATACTATACATCCACCTCCCTCCTTTCCATATCTCTATTAAATTTTTGTATCCTCCAAGGGATCACTTTGAAACTGATGAATGGCTCTTTATCCAAGGAAATGGAGCATTAGCCTCCTACCTCAGATCAAGCTTGATTACCTCCCATATCCCAGGCACTATTATATAATCCTCCAAGGGCTTAGCATTTCCTTATGAACTTGATAGTAATTCTGCTTTGTTATGCACCAAAATACGTATTAGTCAAATACTGTGATTACAAAGTAACTAATGTAAAACAAAGAAAATATACTGAATGTGGGATCTAGAATGCAGATAACAGAGCTTGTTTAGCAGTAGACAATGGGGTAGAACAGTTAAGGGCATTGTGATGAAATTAGCAACTGTCACTTTTGTAACCCTTGATGACCAAAATGGGTTTAACTGTAAATATTATAATGTGAATATTATAATACTAGTGTCACATTATAGGTTCGAACTTATGAGCGCTGACTAGGGAGAAGTGTATGGACCCAACTGTAGCGTTGGGTAACAGAAAAACAAAAACAAATTTTATTTCTGTAAGGTGGAGTACAGTATATTGTATAATTGAGGTGATTCCTTCTTTCTTTGTTGGGCTTATCAGGGCCACTGACAGCATAAGCTGTATTGAGCCCGACTTCTCGATGGTACGAGGAAAAATTGTTGCCCAAGGCTGGGCGATGAGAGAAAAGGAACAAAAGTTCCTTTGTAAACAGAGACAGTAACTTAAGTTTCCAATTAGATCCGGTGGACCACCTTGCCAAGCCCCAGCAGAGAGGGACGCCCACACTCCACCTGAGTTGAGTAACTGGCTTACCACCAAGACCGATAAAGAATTATCCGCAGAGCAGAAAAAATGGAGCTGGCTAAAAGTAAGCCGATGAACAGGTGCCCCTCCTGTAGACTGCCTGGCGGGCAAAATAGATGAGGATAAGCGTCCCAGTGAGAACGGGGGAAATTTGTCACTGATACTCAGGTGAGAGAGAGAGACACGTCCACACCCGATGAAGGCTGGCGCAGAAGTCCGCAATTGAGGTGATTGTCATATATAAACTATAGAAAGCCCTTTATTATGCAAAGCATTTTGGACAGCTTTAAAAATAAATTATAATTACAAGTATACGAGAGCCTGGAGTAAGGAGCTGGTAACCACTCCTGTATAAATTCCTAAATGTAAAAAGAAGAAAAAGTTAGTTTTCTTTTTTTGAGTCACCCTGCCTCAGTGGGAGATGGCTGGTATGTTGAAAATAATAATAAAACTTGTGGGAAGTGCCCATTTACCCAAAAGGCACTGCAGTCACATTTCTAGGGGCTCATTGACCCCGAGGTTATTATTTCGACTATTCAGTCTATTGAGAGAGAGTTTATAACAAGTGACTAAAGTAAAAATACCAGCTTTCTTCTGAGGGACTGAAATATCTGTACAGCAATTTTTAATGAAGTTACTCAAGGGGAAAAGTTTTGAAGCTAGCAAAGGACTTGATTCAAAGTATTAAGAGTTACTCATCCTTTGGATGTTACACTTCCCCATGATCAAAATGTAAATAGAACTACCCTCCCTTTCCCTGCCAAAGCTGGGTGAACCAAAGAAGGAAACGTTCACCATCATTCATTCATTTGCTGCTTTACCTGGTGTGCTGACTTACAATTCCGATTACCCTCCGACTGCAACATCCTCCCAACCTCCTTCAGTGCTGGCACTGCTCTTTACACTGCCAGGTCTTGAGTAGCTAGCTGGTTTTCCTGAATACCTTCATAAATGTTAACTTGCTCATACTTCAACAGCACACCCATTCAAAACCACTTGTCTCCATTTGTATCTAACAAACTCTCACAAGCATGCTGGATCCTCAAGCTCCTACAACTTGAACCTCCTTTACCCACCCTCGCTCCAACTGTTCCTGAGAACCCTCCTACCATCCACCCCAGAATTATACACCCTCTTCATTTATCCCATTCATCTTCATCCTCTCTAAATACCCAAAGAACCTTGGTAACCTCCTCTCAACTTTGAATTATACCATAGGTGACCCCAAGCTGTCTTTAAATTTCTACACTCTGAACATTTCAAACATTACATCTTCACTGCTTTTAACTTCCTAGTTGCGATGAATTATATTGGTATTTCATACCAATGTGCGAAGTACAGTGCCTGCGCTCTCAAGAAGGGGTGTTGATGTTGCAGTTTTTAAGCTTGTGTAAGCTCTGGCAAGACAGTGATGAAGTGAATGATGATGAATGTGTTTCTTCTTTTTCTAGTAGCCCTGCATTGGTGGGAAACGGCCGATGTGTTAATAATAAAACAAAATCATGCACTGGATATTTTACATGTTGATTCAAATAGACACAAGCAAATGCTAGACATATTTCAACTAATCTCAAATCATTTGGCCCCTCAACCCCTCAAGGAAGGTTCCTTGATGTTGGTGAGGGGCTCTTGATTTAGGGAATTGGATCTGTGCTCCAGTTCCCCAAATTAAGCCTGAATGCCTTCCACATCCCCCCCCCAGGCGCTGTATAATCCTCCGGGTTTAGCGCTTCCCCCTTGATTGTAATAATAATAATTTGGCCCCTCAAGGAAGGTTCCTTGATGTTGGTGAGGGGCTCTTGATTTAGGGAATTGGATCTGTGCTCCAGTTCCCCGAATTAAGCCTGAATGCCTTCCACATCCCCCCCCCAGGTGCTGTATAATCCTCCGGGTTTAGCGCTTCCCCTTTATAATAATAATAAAATCATTTGGTGTGTGCATTCTCGACATGGTAAAGTATGCAACAACTAAATCTGCTGCTATATACTGAAGAAATTATACTGAAGGGTGCTGCAGAGCTTATTATGGGCAGTATTTAATATATTTGTGGGGGAGATCTAAACCCAGTGAGAAATAGGAGAAAATGAGGTTTGATCCAAGGAAGGGAAGATAGCGTCCATAATGCATCAATAACATTTAAATGCATTGCATAGAACAATTTTGTTAAAGCTTCAAGGCAAGTCCTTTAGCCCAGATTGTCACCCATAGGCCTCCGCTTCTACTTATTCCTTGGATCAGACCTGATTGAGTCCCATTTCCCAGGTGTTGTATGACCCCTACAGGTGTAGTCCCCTCAAGGAAGGTTCCTTGATGTTGGTGAGGGGCTCTTGATTTAGGAAATTGGATCTGTGCTCCAGTTCCCCGAATTAAGCCTGAATGCCTTCCACATCCCCCCCCCAGGTGCTGTATAATCCTCCGGGTTTAGCGCTTCCCCTTTATAATAATAAAATCATTTGGTGTGTGCATTCTCGACATGGTAAAGTATGCAACAACTAAATCTGCTGCTATATACTGAAGAAATTATACTGAAGGGTGCTGCAGAGCTTATTATGGGCAGTATTTAATATATTTGTGGGGGAGATCTAAACCCAGTGAGAAATAGGAGAAAATGAGGTTTGATCCAAGGAAGGGAAGACAGCGTCCATAATGCATCAATAACATTTAAATGCATTGCATAGAACAATTTTGTTAAAGCTTTAAGGCAAGTCCTTTAGCCCAGATTGTCACCCATAGGCCTCCGCTTCTACTTATTCCTTGGATCAGACCTGATTGAGTCCCATTTCCCAGGTGTTGTATGACCCCTACAGGTGTAGTCCCCTCAAGGAAGGTTCCTTGATGTTGGTGAGGGGCTCTTGATTTAGGAAATTGGATCTGTGCTCCAGTTCCCCGAATTAAGCCTGAATGCCTTCCACATCCCCCCCCCCCCGGCGCTGTATAATCCTCCGGGTTTAGCGCTTCCCCTTGATTATAATAATACAGGTGTAATGCTGTATGACCCTTATGGGTTTAGCGCTTAGTTCTACTTGTATTATTACTATTATTACAGGTGTTGTGCTTCTCCTACATAAAATTATAATGATAATAATACTATAATAATAATACGTAATAATAATAATAATTTAAATTTGGCGGGTAAGTTGGTGGTTGAGGTTGGCTGGCTTAGGAGAGTGAAGCCTTAATATCGATGAGGGGCTCTTGACCAATGGAAATAGACCTTTCCTCTCCTTCTTTGAATCGAATCGAATTATTGCCCAAGCACTGTATGCTCGCAATAGCTTCAGCGGTTCCCACACGACTAATAATAATACTAGTAATAATAGTTAATGATGGTGGTAGCGGCA